ATTCCAGTATTTTATGTAATAAAATGGTAGTGGTGAAGGAAAAAACCCTCCTTGATACTTTGAACAAGCAAGTCAATCTTCAGTTATATAGCTGGCAACTCCTCAAATTACATAAACCAGTGCTGCATTGTCTGGTAGTCAGCTTGCTGAGAATCGCGACGTTCGTCTTTTCTTTTTATTTTTCGCAGACGGATCCCCTTTCTGAAAATTGTTTTGGTTCAGAGAGGAGTTCAACCACTTGTCTTCGCAGCCACAAGCGACGTACTAGATCACCGCACCGTCGTACCACATGCCACGCACTTGGTGTAGCACCTATATTCTGTATGTACGGTATCCCCAAATATTCCGTTGTGGTTGGTTGTTGCATCCTTTGCGTCACACCCTTTCAACAACTTTCATCTTTTCACAGGACTTCTGTGACAATTTTTACCAGCTTAACGGTTTTTTGAAGCTCTTGACAAGATTTCAATTGTTTCTAGAGGCGTGTAGTGTGTGGTAACCATCGCCAATTCATCTTGGGCGCCCTTGGAGGTATCTTAGCGAAAAGGAAAATGTAGTGAGATATCAAAAAATTTGATGTTTCTCATAGAAATAACTAAAGCTACCTCAGACTATTTAAAGCATGTCTTCCACTCTTCTGAGCAGTTAAGCTCATTGCTGATAATCGGGTATTTGCCAGGACAAATCAGTCTGCAGAGATTTTGAAAATTGGACTCTGTGGCTATTACTTTACAACTGTCGTAAAGCTTCATCGACGCTTTTTTTAACGGATTGAGAGGAAGACTGGGTGAGCTGAGTAGAATAAAGGAGAGAGACGAGGACGATGGAGGGAGGAGGTGGGAAGGACAATTTCTTATTCTCAAGGGAAAAGTGAATGTTTTATCTGTCAGTGCTTTTCCTCCAAAATGTATTAAATCACTTGGTATTTCGTACGTCAGGCTTAGCTAGTAGTATTCTTCCATTTTCTCCTCTGTTTATTCGTGTATTTGCTTTCTTTGACTGCTGAACGGTGTCACAGCAAACTTGCTCGTGCACATCACTGTTGTTTAGGACATAAGGGCCGGTGGCACATTGGATGACATCATGGTTCGAAGGATCCGTAAATACCGGAAATGAAAACTATAATTTCCTCTCAGTCCCTGTTCATTACAAAAGAGGTCCATTTGTCACAGAAACTCTTTTGACACTAGCTTATTGAACAAGATCAACAATCTTTGCCGACTTCCTGATGATTTTGCTAAAAATGGGCAATTATTATCAACGAAAAATTTTATTTGTCCACCTATATGCATTTGAAAGCTGAACAGTGACTGCTGTTAAAGCGATGTTTCGACGAAAGGCATTCCTGCATTGGTACACCGGTGAGGGTATGGACGAAATGGAATTCACTGAAGCAGAAAGTAATATGAACGATCTCATCTCCGAATATCAACAGTATCAGGTTCGTGTAAAAGAATTATACAAAGATCCGATGAAGAAGAAGGGAGGACTCCTCCTGATGAAGCTACACTTTCAAGCTAATTAATGTTAGCTAGAAGATGGATAGTTGGAGGGATAGCCGTCCCTGATCATATCCATCCCAGTCAAGTTGCTGGCATCCAGCGCTCGACAATTTTTAGCCCCAAACATATAAAACAGAAACCGATTATAAGCGGATAATAAAGCAAAAACTTTATAAAGCAGAAACAGAAACCGCTGATTCTGTCCTGCTCCGCTGGACTGGGATTTACGCCCTTGTCCAGTGACAGATAGCTAAGCAGCTGCGTGTAAATTTATGGCACTAAAGAGATTGACCAAGGATCCGCTATTAAGCAAGTTACACTTTTTAGGATGTAGATCGATTTTCCGTCTTTTGCTTTCATTTGTACTGCTAAAAGTGCAGCTACCCTAATTAGTCTGTAGCCGTTTCTTCAGGATGCAACGGTGGACGATGACGAAGAGTATGAAAATGAGGAACAGCCAGACTATGAATGATATTTTGCATCGTTTTT